TGTTCGGTAGTTCGGTAAATGAATTGCAGGAGTATTTGCTTAAGTAATAGAGAAGAGATATGAACCTACTCAGTATAATAGGATGCACTTGTTATTGCTTTGGCACCATGCTGTTGAAAATACTTACAAGGATACATTAATCACTTCTTATCGTATTATATGTGTTGTCACACATGCATTCGCAATATCTTATTCCATGATCATGCATATAGGATCGACCGAGGAGATAACGTTGCTGGAATTCAACGAAGAAGAGGAAGGGGACCAGCAGAAGATTCCTCAAGCTGTAGCTCCTGAAGAAGAGGAGCAGAATCTAGAAGAGCTCCTGGAGTGCCCTGATCATCGCCCCACCTCTTTTTTGAAAGGCAAGCCCCAGAGCATTCTAAGTCTCCTTGTGTTTTACAAAATATTACTTGAGTCCTTTATGATTGATGCATTAGGTTATAAGAGTTGTCTGGAAACACTTGATGCATAGAACTAGCTTATCCAGATATATACACCTTGAACCCTATGTAGGTCCAGGATCGAATATATGCTTAGCCATGCTTAGACCGGTAAAAGTCGGGTGATTTCCTGTCACCTACGAGATATAGGTGGATACCGAAGCATGGTTGGCTATATTTGCTATCGTGGAAAAGAACCATGGGGTAATGTAAATGGAGGCCAGGCGGAGTCTATGTGTGGGTTGGCTCATGTGATTCCGTCTGTGCCGATTAAGGACCGTATCATTGTTGGCGTTGTTTGACAAGATTGAACGCATGCCTATTACTTAGCTGGCCGAATAACTCATTCCGACCACGAAGCTGAGTAGCTCAACTCAAGTCGGGCCCCGCTCTATAAGAGTGCGCACTCTAGATGGTAATAAGGATGTGCGGGGAGCCAGGCGTGAGCCCGGGCTAGGTAGTCCTGATTGAACCTGACAGCTGGTTGTCCCTGATTGTGCGGTGCTGGGCGAACCCGCGAAATGTGTACTTGAGTTGTACCAAAGCTAACCTAAGGCGACTAATGTTCTAGTCTGTCTGGGTTTGTGTTAGGAATAAATTCCCAGCTGGTTGAAATCAATTCGAATCGCCGTCTCTCCTGGATAGTGAGAAACTTGGCTAGTACCAACATCGTAGTAATTGTATTATGAAATATGATGGTTCGGATAAGCATGGAATTACTACACTGGCTATGGTTACTATTGTATGCTCTTAAAATGATATACCACATGTTTGGCATAGGATAGTTACGAACCTAGAGATGGATAGTTATAATTAACTTGATGATGGAACTATAATTGTATAACTGAGTTAATCGCTTTTATGTAAAATGTTGTCAAGCTACCTCCACTTATAAAGCCTTGCATAATCCTTAGAGTCAATTTATTTCTGGTTTATGACGGGTAAGTCTAGCTGGGTACCTTCTCATACTCAGGGTTTTATTTCCATTGTTGCAAATGGTACCGTCTATCATGGATATTGCAAGAATTGTTTCTATCCCACCGTGGATGAGGAGTGAGCCTTGGGTCGGCATCTTTAATAATCTCTCCCTTATGCTTTTGTGGATTGTGATCATATGATGGCACTATAATTGAACTATGTGATAAATGCTAGTTTCAAACTTAATTTGCTTCCGCTACTACTACTCTATCAAACTTGGTTTGTAATAACTTTATTTTGTACTCTGATGATGGAAATGTATCTATGAACTTTATGTAATATGTGACATGTATGTTGAATCTTGTACGATCATGGTTGTATGTCGATCGTTTATCGAGACCCGTCATGGTACTCGACAGACTACCAGGTTTATATGGGCTTAAGTATGACAGTGCGTCCGCTTGCGGGCTGCCATTGTACTTGTGCTCTTATAAATTGGTCGGTTCTGCGACACCTTATCCATAGCAAAGCAAGTTATGAGGATCATTGGAATGCCGTATTTCAATTCCTGGACCCGTAGATTGTATGTGGGGTATAAGATATTAATTAATGGAAGATTTATTGTTGAATGTTGGACTCAGTTCTAGTTTATTTCATACTTAGGCCAGTCTTAGTGGAGAGTTTCATTATGTTATTTTCAAAACGGTCACGTCATGTAGAATAAAATGAAATAGGGATGAAACACCCCTTCTCAACGGAGAGTTTCATTCTAAACTTTAGCAGGACGAAACCAAACAGGCCCTTAATGTGAATAATGTTACTACCACTATGTCGGATGAATAAATGATCAAATGACCAAAATAAAAGTTATAGATCTCGGAAAGTTATGAAACTCTGTAGTTGACAACTTTTTGATTTGAAATCATCTTGTCAAGGAAAACTACGTTTGAATTTCCAAAATTTGAAATTTAAATTTTATAAACGACCTCGGATGGAGAAACTACCAAAATAAAAGTTGTAGATCCCAATAAGTTATGAAACTTTGTAGTTGACAACTTTTTGATTTGAAATCATCTTGTCAAGAAAAACTACGTTTGAATTTTTAAAATTTTGAAATTTGAATTTTTTAAATGACGTCCAATGGACAAACAGAAAAAACGAAAGTTGTATATCTCAAAAAGTTATGAAACTTTGTAGTTGATAACTTTTTTATTTGAAATCATCTTGTCATGGAAAACTACATTTGAATTTCTCAAATTTGAAATTCAAATTTTGTAAACGACCTCGGATGGAGAAACTACCAAAATGAAAGTTGTAGATCTCGAAAAGTTATGAAACTTTGTAGTTGACAACTTTTTTATTTGAATTCGTTTAGAATCCTAAATACTCATTTTAAAATCAGATGAACATAAAATGACTAGGACAAAAATCTCATTAGAACACAAACAAGTTGTAGGTGGAGTGGTTAGGGGCTGAAGACACGAAGCAGGAGGTTAGGGGTTTGAGCGCCGGTGGCCGCGAAGTGTGTGTTTTTCGTGATGCCGGACTGTGTGGCTGTCCAATAGGGCCTCTCCCGAAATTAAAAAAATATATCCTTATTTTTTTAGCCTATTTTTTGGATTTCCTAAAAACCACATCAGTATCGGTTCATAAGAACCGGTAGTGATGTCAACCCCACATCACTGTCGGTATGCCACTGACGGTTCAAAATACGACAGTGAAGGGGAGTTTTAAACCGACGGTGATGTCGAAAACTGGGTAGTGCATCACCTTCCATGAATAGTAAGCAGACAAAAAGTATATGTCATCATCTATGTTTTATGGAGAGGTCTTGCAATCCATTAATGCTTCCTCTTTCTCTTTTTGGACACCTCTTGATATGTAGGGGTAGCAGGGTGTCATTGGAAGTGGAACCAATGCTGGAGGCACGACGCACGAATTGTCGCAGAAGATGGGAAAAGCACAATTGTTAGGGAAAACAAGCACGGGCCGATTTCTACAGGCTCATTACCTTGCTTTGCCTTTTGAGGGGAAAAAATAAATTTCTTTGCAGATGTGTTCCCCAAGTTTTTTCAGTGCCTCTTTCTTCATCATTTTGCATCGACACATTGATCAAAGACGGTCCCTTAAATATCCTCATGGACGGGCTTTACAACTATCTGTGATTACTCTTATCACAAATGCCCTAAGTACCAGTCTTTGCTTTGACTAATCACATACAATTGTTTGGCCTGTCTGTGATATGGTCACATCACAGACCCTTATGCACAGACAGGCAATTCTCCTGTCTGGAATGGAATTGAGGCCCATCTGTGTTTATGGATTCTAGCATAGTGAAGTACATATCGAGAAAAAAACAGAGAGACAGAAACTACTCGAATCCATGGGTCTGACAGAGAAAAAGTTGCAACAAACTAAGGAAGGAAAATCGACACCTATTGCATGCAAGTTCGGGGTTGGCAAAAATATATTGCAGCACGAGGAAGAGATAGAACAATTGCTGACAAGTATGCATCATATGCATGAATATTACAAATAAAGACCAAAATGGAGAAGCAAACAATGTTCTGGGTTGGCAAAAATATATATATCTGGTGCATTATAATTGTCTGGTGCGTTATATATATCTAGAGCATTATAAAACTCACTGCCAGGTGTGTTTTAAGCCGACAGTAATACTTACCAATTCACTGCCAGGTGTGGCATTGATCCGACAGTAATATGATGAATGTCACTACTGTCAGTTCCTGCTTTAATCTGATAGTGACACACATGATATCACTGTATGTTCATACATCACACTAGCAGTAATACTCATGGATATCACTATCGGTTCGAGCTTTGACCCGACAGTGGTAGTGTATTATCACTGCTCGACTGAAAATTGGCAGTGATAGGCCGTCCCATCACTGGTGATTATCCAGTACCTGGCACAATTCTAAGTAGTGATGGGGGGTTTCGACCCAGCAATGATTGTCTGTTCTAACGTAGTGAATGTTGTCAAATGAAATTGTAAAAGGTATATATTCTCGTTTAAATCTAATTGTCCATGGGCTCAATGCTATAGGTTTGACCAAAGTGAGTGATGCAGATGTGGTAAGGGAGATCATCTCGGTGCTACCCGACAAATATGGCTCCATGATCTCTATCTTACACAACATGAGGACTTAACTACCATGTCGTCTTCCCTTATCATTGGCAAGATTGTGACATTTGAAATATTAAGGAAGATGGGTTAAGAAGAACCTACTGCATCAAGCAAGTAAAGCATTGCTCTCACCTGTGACGATCATAAGAAGATGAAGAAGAAGATCAAATTTAAAGAAGTTTGACCCATAACAAAACTAATAAAATGCTATATAATTTACAAGGGGTGGAGTAAATTTTAAAATCGTATATCAATCACTAGTTTTTTTTAATATTTAAAGATCAATTTCTAGCTTTGAAATTTTGATCAAGTAGTGAGTACTTTGTGCAACATTAACTGAGGTATTGGTACGAACTAGGAATGAGATTTTCGAAAATAGAGAAAAGGAATGGAAAAGGGGGGACACGAGAACATAATCCTTGGACTTCTGTGAGTTACAGTGTATGTGTTGCGTGGTTCAATCGGAGAGGGAACTTATTCCCAGTTAGCAGTTACGATGAACTGGCCGGAGCAAGGCTGAGATGCAGGTCCAGACCCATCGCCGATGGTTCCTCGGTGTCGTCATCAGCCGGAGGGCACAGCTCGTAGGATCGCCCGATGCTGCTGCCCGTACCGCCGCGCAGCATCAACGGCTCAGGTTGGCATACGCCGGCGGCGTGGAACGGCAGACCCATGGTTGCTGCTGGCTGGTGCGCGAGGTAGACCCAGCTGGCGATGGCGCCCGGGCTTACCGCGATGACGTGCCCGGGCGGCGGCTGTGACGACGTGAAGCCGGCGGCGCAGATGCCGGCCAAGCCACCAGCTGCAGCGTGGCCGCCGTCAAGGACGCGGGCGGCGAACTGGCGCTCACGCTTCAGCTGCTGCCGCTCCTTCTTGTGCGCGTTCTGGTGTCCGCCAAGCGCCTGCGAGTTAGCGAACTCGCGGCAGCAGTACTGGCACTCGAACCTGCGCCTGTCCGCTACTGGCCGGCTGTCGTCCTGCGGCGGAGGCTGCGCGACGATGTGATCGGCGGCAATACCCTTGCCAGCCACGTCGTAGCCGAAGATCCTCAGAGACGAAGCGCTCGGCGTCGGCGTCGGCGTCGGCTTCGGCTGCTCACACTTTATGTCGGCTGCTGCCATGGATCGATGCATGGACAGTACTTGTAGAGGGAGCTCAGTGAGCAGCTCGTCGTTGCGGGTTGTTGTAGTGCTGTTGATGCATACGGTGAAGTGAAGTGATGCGTATATGTAGCCCGCGGGGAGCGGCCGGAAGTCGTACCTGCTTGGAAAAACGAGGGAATGGACGAGAAAAAACCGAGGGGTTTGCACTTCTTTTGGAGAGTAGGTAGGTGAACATGGAGAGAAGAGATGACCACACGCAAGCTTCCACCCAACTGGTGAATCATTCTAGAAATGGACCATGCATGTGAAAAGAAGGCATGTACCAAATACATCTAACCACCAGTAGCTTCCAAACACCATCCATATCGTACGTAGATGGCCTATAAGCATAGCGGGTGTCAAGGCAACGGCACGTTATGTTCACCTTCTGGACCACGCTGCAGCAGGCCTCCGACAGCAGGGTCTTGGGATTAGGCGGGAGCAAAGGTGAACCGTGAACCACGCCATGCTTCTCCTCCTACCATCCCTGAAGTTTAAGCTCCCTGAGGTTCTCGCCATGCTTTGAGGCCTTGCTGCTTCCTCTTTGCCGTCCTAGGTTCTCGCCTCTTTCTTTCTGCTGTTCTCCTTCTCTTCCTATCTCCCTTGGAGCTCCGAGGACCTTTTTTCGCCTAGCTGCAAAATTTTGGATTTGCCTTGGCGAAAATTTGGTCTTCCCCTGTCCGGTTCTTAATAGGTCTTTCTTTGATTTTGTTGTTACCTTTGGTCGTTAAAAATTCCGTCTCTCCAATGATTCTGCTGCTGTGCAGCCTGTGCTCCACCGGTGGCATTGCGGGTGATCTTCACATTTGTCCTCCGAATGATTGGGTTTTCAAATTCTTCGTTCATCGAAGCCAGTGCGCTTGTTCCTCTCTTTTGAGTCTAGTCTCAATAAGCTTACTTTGCATCAATGGTGGTCCAAATTGGGTGCATGAATTCTCGCTTTTCTCTGTCCGAGATGATAAACTTTGCCATAGAGTGGAACCTAAGAACAACTCGTCAATTTGTGGAAAGCCCTCATCAATTTGTGGATACCAATCCATGTGTGTTGGTGCTCCTTTTGATTTCTTTGGTTTAGGGCAGCCTAGGCCTGAGCCAAATCAAAATGGTCAGAGAGAGCCTGATCATGTGCCTTAAGTATAGCAAGATGGCCCTGGGACCCTGTCCTGCTCCTCAAGCCCAAGAAAGTCCTAACTTGCCACTGCCAAAAATTCAAGACTTAGATAGGGTTCCTGATCCCTCTACAGCTATCACTACAACACATGGGGCCTTTTGTGACCTTTCTTTTCTGTCACCTAACCTTAAATCTATGTCATATTACAAAATCTGTGACACACCCATCATGCGTCGCTTACCATGTTGAGTGGTGTCTAAGCATTTTGCGCCATAAACCTATGACATTCTAGTTTATCTCACAAAGATTTAGGACATCCTTTTTTCGTCATATATACTTGTACTATGCCACGTAAGCAGCCGTCTCAGTAGGATAAAAAATGTCATAAATGTTGACGTGGCACTAACTTGGCATCTCTTGTAAGCGTTATAAATTGAATTTTGGCAATGTTAGAGCCCATGTAGAAGGCATGCTTACAATGGACTAAGCTCATTGTAGAGCCTTATTTTTTTTGGCCCAGCCTATTTCAATAATTATGATTTTTTAGCATAATCATTTCTTGCCCTCTGAAATGTTAAATCCAGTCCACGCCACTTTTCGAAGCAGCCCAAAACAGATATTTTTAATTTATTCTAGGCTAGCCCACAAAAAAAATTATCCTAGGATAGCCCAAACAATCCATATTGTAGCCCAAACATTTCATATTACAGCCCACATAGTGCACCCAAAAAAATACAAATTACAGCCCATATGCCGGTCCAAACAATGCAGATTGCAACCCACACATGGCAAGCAAAACAATGCAAATCACATCCCATACAAAAGATCATAACGACCAGTTTCCCATGTCTTACATTAGGTTCATTGCATTCATTAACAATAGCAGATTAAGATACAAAAGTGTTCACATGACCGACCAGAATATGAGATGGATAAGGAATAAATAAATATTTGGCCTAAGATGGTGGAGCTGGGTTAATGCCACAAATTCATTTCTTGGGTCGTGGGATTTTAAGGAGAGAGTTAAGCCCTGTTCGCTTGAACTTATCAATCATGGTATAGTGTTTTTCTCTCACAACAAATCAGCTTTAGCCGGTTGATACGGCGGCTTATCAGCCACAGAAACCATCAGTTGAACAGCTCGTTAGTTATCAACCGGCTTTACTCGTGAGCACCGTATATCTGTGCTTTGAACGAGGAGTTGCAGGAACATAGCTGTCATGAAGGAGTTGACACTCGCATGAGCATGAAGGAGATGAACAAATAAGCATGCAAGCAGTGGCTTGGTCGTTCTTGCACGCTTGAGAATAAATCACCTGCAAAAGAATACAACCAAGATGAAAGAAAGAAATATAGATAAAGGAGAAAAGGGCCAAAAGGATTTAAAGGGAAAAGAAAGAAAAAGATTGGGCTGAATTTCACGATAACAAGATAAGCCTGCAGATGTATCATTTGGCGTCACCTGCTAAGCTTGTACTCCCGCTGTGAAGCGCTGTGAAGCAAGCGGCGTTGACAGCTTAGAGTCTCTCTCAGGTGCCTGCGACCCAGCGAGGTGACATCCTTGTTATGCAACGTATGAGTTTGGCCATGGGACGAGAGGCTCTTCGAAGCTGAGTTGAATGCTTCCAACGTCGAAGCACTGGAAGCGCTTTTTTCGGCAATCGAAATAGGGTCGCGTTGGAAGCAGCGGAGGCACAAGCCAAACTTCTTAGGTTACATTGCTGCCCAAATCTTGGTTATCTACCTTTTGTGTAATACCAAAACTTGAATCTGTAGGCTAGGACGGTCCAACCATAGGTTGTAACCCTGTATGTCTCTTAGAGCGCTCATTAGCAACGTGTCGTTGTATGTTAAACTCTTCTAGCTTAACTAAAATGATACGTAAATCTTCTGTGTGTTCGAGAAGAAAAGGGACGACCGAGAGACATGCGCCCGTTGCAGTTAACCAGATTCATTTAAATTTCTGGAATCAAATGAAGTACAATCGTTAGAAATATCTGTACAGGCCAGTAGGCCACACACATACAAACAGCATATCAAACAACGATATGCAAAGCCATATATAAAATAAAGACGCCGCAAACAACACAAGACACAACCCAATGGTGGCGGCGTAAATAAATCAAACCAACACCCACAAGCCATGCGTGCACACGGCCATTTTATTAACCGACCAAACACAATGCAAATTTTTGTTACGGTGTGGTTAATTATTACTACACCTGCTGAGTGCCGGCGTGTAGCTCTGCCGGCTCAGGTGGGTGGCGCTTGATGCCCGCGTGTGTGCACAAGGCCCAGAGGCATGTGATGAGGTCGCTGCCTGAGGAGGCCAGAGCCTTGGCATGGCCTTCCACGTCGTTGGACGGCGCCAGGTAGATGAGCAGCTTGACCCAGAACTCGGCCAGAACCTTCCATTTCCAGGCATCATCAGCTGCGGAGTCCTCCTTCCCCTTCTCCAGCTGCTGGTACAGTTTCACACCCGCCTTAGCCGTTGCCTCCTTCAGTTGATCCTTCATCTCTGCCACCGCCTTCCAGCGCCCTGCGCGCCTCCATGGGCAGCACCAAGTGCTACAGCAGCACCGGCGTGACGCTTCCTTGAGGCAGCTCTTGACGTCCTCGTACCTGTCGGACACCCACCTCTCGTCGTCCGGCAGGAGCTCGGGGACACGCGCCACAAGGTACATGCAGTACCTTGACAGGGTAGTTGCCACGGTCTGGTGGTCCCAGTCTTCGGGCTTCTGCTCCTTCTGCTTCGGCTTCTTCTTCGGCTTGCCATGCTTTACCTCCAATAGCTCCGTGGCTAGATGGCACGCCAGGATGATCTCGGTGGCAGTTTTTCCTCGGATGATATTGAAGTCAAAGCCACTAATGTCGTCATGCGGCAGGTTGACAACCCCGGTGTCCAGGTTGATAGCCTTCAAGTCCTTGACAATGGCTACCTTGGCTTCAGATGGCAGCGTCGCCTGAGACGTCCATGCAAACATTTTGTGAACTGGCTCACAAACTCGGAGGATGGATACCTGCTTGATCTTCATCTTTTTCTCGTTAACTGGCCTTCCAGTGAGTTTAAGCACAAACTTGAGTGAGCTGAATACCAAAAGGCGGTATGCAATGAAGCAACAAATGATTGGGTTGACCAGGAAGTTCCACAGGCCGCCCCCCGGGGCTACATATAAGCATAGCAGGTGCACTAGAAACCAATTGGAGAACAAGTAGGTAGTGAGGAAGTCTGTGATTTCAACGGCGAGGAGGGTCATCACAAGCAGCATGGTAATGATGAAGTATTTGGTGTCATTGTTATCAGGAGTAATGATTACTAGTATGGCAACGGCAAGAACGTATATCGACACAAAGAGGAGAGACGAGAGGAAGTTGATGAGGAAAAGCCAAGGAGCCGACATCACAACCGGGACGCCGGCCTGGTAGTAGTTGTCAAGGAAGTCGAGCTCAAGCTGGATCACTCTAAATGCCCTCGACGCATTGTCAGCGACCGCCGGCTCATGGTCGTTGAGGAGGCCCTCGATCATTAGCCGCCGTGCCATCTTGGAGCCGACCTCCACCATGGGGTAGTGCTCGAAGCGGCGGCGCAGCAGCTTGAAGAGGGAGAAAGAGAGGCACATGAGGAGCATGTGATCGATGAATTTTGGTCTTCTGTTTCCAAAGAGCGCTAGCCAACGTCCTAGATTCTGCCATATGTCCTTCACTGTGACTAAATTCTTGACCTTGTCGAGGTCGACGAGGAGATGAACATGCTTTAGTTCATCTTGGTCGTGGGGAAACCTCCCCACACCGTAGCCACAGTGAGGAGTGGTGAGGAGTACCTTGGAGCCCGTCGTCTGTCGTCGTCCCCTCTCTTTCTTGTTGAGCACCAGCTTCTCCTCTCCCATCACCACATACTGGCACTTGCCCATTACGGTGTCAAGGTCAACATCAGGGGAAGCACCACCACCAGCACCCGAGCCGCCGCTGCTGCCACCGTCGCTATGGCGGCGCCCCGGCTGGCCCTCCTCCTCCTGCTGCTCACGGACATGCTGCATATAGCCTGCAATGAGGTTAGCGCTGCCTGCGGCGGACAGTGAGTCCTGGGCCTTCCATTCGTTGAGCACCCTCTGAACCAGCTTCGCCACAGCCAGTGACCATAGGATGGCAAACATGGGCAACATCACAGCTTTCTTCTGCCAGTAGGGATGAAAACGGTCGGAAACGGTATCACAGTATAGAAAACGAAAGTGGTCAGTTCGGAATATTTCTACATTTTAGCAATTAAAGAGTACAAAAAATAGTTGAAAATAGTTGCAAAACTAATTGAAAATGACAAATTTTTATGTTTGGCAAAATTCGGAAACGATAGCATAATATAGAAAACGGTATCATAATATAGAAAACGAAAGCGATCGGTTCAGAATATTTTCGTACTGTTTTCATCCCTATCTGCCAGTCAACGTTGGAGTAGATGAGGAAGCCGATCCACACCAGACGAGTCACCTCGTCGGAGTGACCCATCAGCCTGAAGCGACTGGCAGACCTGGAGAAGGAGCCGCTGCTGGCTGATGGTACCATCGCCTCCACCTTCTTGCGGAAGAGCTCTATGAGGAGCATCCACAGGAGCACGAAGAGGATCTCATCGTCCTTGGCTTTGGCGCGCATGTAGGACAGGAGGGGGAGGAAAAGGATCAAGGTGAAGCGCAGCAGGAAGCGCACCATGGAGAAGAGGGTGAAGCGGCCGCGGATCAGGCGCTCCAGCCCCACGACGCACAAGGTGCCGCCCAGGATGGCCATGAGCACCGTCGTGAACACCACCGCACGCTGCATCACCTTATCCATAGGATTGGACGCAGCAGGGGATTGAGATTGACCGTCGTCGTGGCGCCATGTCATGTTGAGATACCACATCAGACAGTACAGTAACAGTACTCGAGGCTAACCCTAGCAGAGTGCATGCAATGCAGCCTACGCGCTTAGAATTAGAAACTGCTGTGGCAGCAGGATGAAGACAGTGCGAGATATATGTATGTATATATATAGGCATGAGAGAACGGGCCGGGTTCTGGTCCACATATACAATTCAACAACAAGGTACTACGTCACGATTCTTCGCTTGATTACTGAGCAATTCCAGGAGTGAGGTATTGCATCTAAACATACGAATGCCGGTCTGTCTTTGTTCTTTAAGAACATATGCAAATACCATGCGTGCTTTAGCACCCATGACACCATCATCAGAAGCGTAAAGGACGCCCTCACTGTGTGCTGCTCGATTCCTCCTTGAGGTTTAATTTAGCAATGGATGGAAGCAATGCTAACACGTGCCTTGATGCTGGACTCATGTGTTTTTTCTTTTTCTAACCACAACATGTTTTGTTTAGACAAGCGCGTGCAGCTGACAACTTACTTAGCTACACAATAAAATTCTTCCCATGGATCGCTTCATTTTGTTGATTGCAAGAGTACGTGGCATATCATTTAGCATTGGGTTGAATGAAACAACCCATCAAATAAAAAGTGTTCGTTTTGTGCGTAGTTTATAGGTTAATGATAGAATTTAATGTGCGATGTATAGCATTACTGGAGAACCATTGGATGAAACGATCACTGCGCCAGAACAGGTAATCACGCCAGTTATGGTGGAGCCGGTAGTGATAAGTTTATCATTGTCGGTTCGTTTTTTTTAGTGAAACAGGAGGGGTTTCCCCCTACTGGACTTTTATTAAATAAAGCAACAGTTCTGCAGAGTTACATCATGAGACAAAGAAAGTTACAAAAAAGATCATACTAATTACACAAAAGCTTCTAGCCATTGATCAATGAAAGGATGGTAGCTTGTTTTTGCTCCAATAATAATCCAAGCAAATTCCTTTTTGAAGATCCTTCTGCAGTTTGTAACAGAGGGTGCAATGTTTCTGAAGATTGCGTCATTTCTGACCTCCCAAATTGACCAGAGCATTGTAATTATTATTTCCATAAAGAAGGGAACATTCAGCATTACTTTGGCATGTTCAAGGAAAGCAAGACAATCTCCAGGTTGTGGCACAATGAGCCCAAGTGATAACCAACATGCTGTTGCAAAAGGACAGAGAAGGAAAATATGCTCCAGAGTTTCCTCAATCTGTTGACTACACAATTCACAGTCATAAACCTCCAGAGTCATATTCTTTCTCTTTAACAGAGTTCGGTGTTAAGTCTATCTTTCAACCATAACCAAAAAAAGATTTTCCTTTTATTCTGACATGAGGACTTCCACAACCATTTGTAAACTGGATGCACCTGTCTGCTACCAATGCGGTGACTATATGCTTTGCTAGATGTGAAAGCAGTGGATCCCCAAATATAAGTCCAAATATCAGGCTCCTCTTGTAAACTGAGATCATTCAAAAGGATAGTGAGCTCTTGGAATTGTTGAAAAGCTTCTTCAGACAGAGGCAGGTGAAAAAGTTCTTCAGCTGAAGGACAATGAAATGCTTGATGCACTAAAATATGTTGATTTCTTACAAAAGAAAACAGCTGAGGCCATTGCTCAGAAAGAAAATGGCTATCCCAAACAACCAACCATAGCAAAGAGGAATGACCGTTTCTAACATTTGAAGATGTCATGCCCTTGTAAGTATCCAGCAAACTTAAAGTATCCTTCCACCAGAAAGAGCCTCTTTTAACACCACTAATTGGAAGCTTGTTATTCTGATAGTATTGATTCCAGAGAAGGTGAACCCAAGGAAGATCAACTTTATTATAAAATTTGTGCAAATTCTTGAGAAGCAGACATTCATTGTGAGTCCTGAGGTCCAACACTCCTAGACCTCCATTTTCTTTAGAGTCACAAACCATCTTCCAAGCAGCTTTGGGTGGCTTTTTACTATTGATGTTTGAGCCACGCCAAAGATAGTGTTTCCTGAACCTGTCAATTTGTTTTATGACTGTTTTTGGTAGCAGAAAAGTGCACATAGCAAATGTTGGAAGGGCACTGAAGACAGCATTGACAAGCTGCAATCTACCAGCCTCACTCAAAAAGTTGGAAGTGCTTACTAGACGTCTTCCACATCTGTAAACTAGTGGCCAAAAATCTGCCACTGGTGGTTTGTACAGGCTGAGTGGCATACGTAAAAGGCAAAGAGCCCTTTGAGCAGCCAAAAGTTTGTGCAAGGATCTCCAATCTCTCTTCTGAAATATTCACTGAAATCATCATAGACTTAGCATAGTTTACCTTCAAACCAGTAGACTCAGCAAAACTCTGGAGAAGTGCCTTAAGAAAGAAAAGTTGTCTAGCATCACCTTGCATAAAAATCAGAGTATCATCTGCATATTGTAAAACTGGGAACTCTTGGTTATGTGACAAAGCAACTGGTAGATGAAGCAAACCCCTGTCTTTTGCTGAATTAAGAAGTGTCTGAAGAAAATCAGCTGCCAGAACAAAAAGCAACGGAGACAAAGGATCTCCTTGCCTAATCCCCCTTTTACAATGAAAGACTTTACCAGGAACATCATTCAAGAGCACTGCAGTTGTTCCTGAACCAAAAATGGAGTTCATCCATGATAACCACTTATCTGGCAAACCTTTGTGCTTCATTATTTGAATCATCAGTTCATGTTCCACCTTGTCAAAAGCTTTCTCAAAAACCAATTTGAGAATGATTATGTCCCTATGAGTTTGATGACACAAATGCAGGTATTCCAAAGCCCATGCTAAGCAATCTTGAATTGATCTTGCTTTAATGAAACCATATTGGTTTTTGTGAATCAAAGAAGGCATGAGAGACTGTAACCTATTTGCCAACAGCTTTGTAATAATCTTGACTGAAATGTTTAGTAAACTAATGGGTCTGAAATCATATACTTTAACTACATTGCCATGCTTTGGGACTAAGGTAATATAGGATCCATTAATGCTCTGTAAACAAATACATCCATTATAAAACCCATTACAGAGATTATAGAAATCTTGACAGATGACAGGCCAACACTTCTTCACAAAGTCTGTATTAAAACCATCTGGACCTGGAGCCTTGTCAGAGGGTAAACTTCTAACCACTGTATCAATTTCCTGAGTACTGAAGGGGAGAACAAGACTTGAACAATCAATAGTTGTAGTTAGAAGACTGTGCAAATCAAAGTTGATGAAACTGAAGGAAGAAACACCCAATCTGGCTTTGAAAGCAGACCAAATCATCTCAGCTTTGCCCTCATGATCATAAATTCCATGACCATTATCATTTTCCAAATATGTAATGAGATTTCTTGTAAATTTTATAGTGGCATTAGCATGGAAAAACATGGTACTAGCGTCACCTAACTTGACCCAATTTATTTTACCTCTTTGTCTCCAATAAGCATTCTGTTGTGCCAACAAACTTTGAAGTTTTTGCTCCAGGATCTTTTTGAAGTTCCATTCAGCAATGGAAATATCTCTAAACTCCTCCAACAGGGTGACAAAAAAGAGAACAAGCTTGACATTAGAAATCACCACTTTTAGATTAGACAGATTTGCTTTCCATGTTTTTAAAGCCATTCTGAGCCTTTTGAATTTAGCAGTATTTTTGTTGGGTCTGAATGATAAGTAGATCTCTCCTAACTTTGCTGATCAATGCTGAAAAAAACTCTATGCTGCAACCAAAAATTCTCAAACCTAAAAATGTGTTGCTTAGGAATTGTAGTGGAAATGGTAATGGCACAAGGAGAATGATCTGAAGTCTCCATGACAAGAGGAGAAACAAAGGTGTTAGGATATGTTAGGGTCCAAGAAGAAGAAGTGAAGAACCAGTTCAAACGCTCCAACAATGGAGAACGTTGCTTATTAGTCCAAGTGAAATGACGCCCATTTAAAGGTAACTCAACCAGCCCCAAAACACTTATAGCATCTTGAACAAGAACATATCATTAAGGTCCCCCAGGCTTGTTCCTATCATCAGGGGACCTGCATAAGTTAAAATCTCCCACAATAATCCAATTAACAGAGTCAGGCATCTGTATATTTTTGAACCAATCAAGAAAAGACAGCTTTTCAAGATAAGAGCAAGGAGCATAAACATTTTTAAAAGAGTCACCATTGTGCTTAGAATTGAATTCTACAAAGAGAGCAAAAGAGTTGTGGAAAACTAGAGAGCCCAGGAAAAGGGGTGATTTCCTTATGACAATTGCCCCACCAGAGGCACCAACAGATGGCAGCACAACATATTGATCAAAGCTAGGAGGGCAAAAGTTCCTGATATAAGCATCATCAAAAGTTTCACGCTTAGTTTCTTGCAAACAAATTATATCACAGAAACTGTCATTTATTCTATCCTTAATAGCATGCCATTTCTTATCAGAGTTGATGCCTCTGACATTCCAACACAAAATTATCCATTTTCTTACATCCATGGAAACACACTGATAAAAGAAGCAAAAGAGGGACCCAACAATCCTAGCCTAGCTAGAGGATACCTGACTAGAAGAAGAATGATCCTTCTTGCCCTTCTTGGCCTTTTTGCTTTCAACCTTGCTCTTTTTGGGCTTGACATTCAGCTTGTCTTCAGATAGCTCTTCTGGGTCAATGTTACAAAAGGCAGCACCCAAATCCCTAATTATCTTAGGAGAGATAGTGGGTGGGACAGCAGAGCAGCCAAGGCAATTCCTATCTTTGCAGGCTAAGGCCTTGAAACCATTGTTGGCCTTCTTGATTCTGAGACTTCTCCTGACTTCAGCTTCAGTTAGAGGTGCAGGCTTAGACTTGGAGGCTCTTTTCCTTTTAGGTGGTGTTGAGGGCTTCTGAAGTTGCTGGGAGCCATCATCCAACTCTTCTAATACACAGATGAGGTGAGCTCAAAATTAGAACAAACAGGGATGGAATATTC